TTAGTCGGTTCATTTGCATTAGGTTTTAACAACTAGTGTTAAATAATATATGATCTGGTTTCTGTTTAATGTGTATGAGATAAAACACAGCCATCAATATGTTGATTAAAGTTAAGGTAAGTGATTTTGTCGCTGCCGCTATGAGTTTATATAATCTGTTTTAACCTGGTCAATTTTATATCAAATCGGCATGGGTTTATGGGGATTTTGGATCTAACAAGACGCCGAAAAGCGGAACCATCGCGTTCTACCAAAACACCCGGAATTTATTTCGGTTACACAGAAAGTTTTTTTTCCCTGTAGAAGCGCTTTAGCTATAGATATATATATAACACAGCCATCAATATGTTGATTAAAGTTAAGGTAAGTGATTTTGTCGCTGCCGCTATGAGTTTATATAATCTTAACCTGGTTTATTTTGTCCAGTATTAACATGCTCAAACTGCTGGTGTTTGATTTGGGTTGATTTTTAATAGAAGATTAATCGACTTGTCAAAGTGAAGAATAATTCAAGTTTATTTATAATGTCTTGTATTAGTAGTTGAGTGATTGAGATGTATCATAAATAATTATTTTTGTGTCGTGGTTCAGACACTCACGGGCAAAGAAATAGAAATTGACATCGAGCCTACAGACAAGGTATGCTTTGTTGTGCTAAAATTGTGGATCGTATTTCTTTATCTTTGGAAGTATTTGGAAATGAATGTTCTTCTCTTTTGCCAACAAGGTGGAGAGAATCAAAGAAAGGGTGGAAGAAAAGGAGGGGATCCCTCCACAACAGCAAAGACTCATTTACAGCGGAAAACAAATGTAAAGATCCCCATTAAAACGTCACTTTGAATTCAACTACATGGGGCAAAAACCAATCTCTCCTGTCTTTCTTTATTTAAGGAATGATGAGAAGACTGCTGCTGACTACAAGATCCAGGGAGGATCTGTCCTGCATTTAGTTCTTGCTCTCCGAGGAGGGCAAAACCTGCACTGGCCCTGCAGTCACCCAGTGTCTTTCCTCTAATCTATTCTATTAAGACTGCAAATAGTAGAAATCTGTGTTATCATGTATGTCAAAACAGCAGAATTGCCAAGAGGCTCTGGTGTTTAAAGCCAAAAGTGGACATTTGGCTTCGCATAAATCACTGTCTAAATCATGTTAGCGTGATCACAGCTGCTTGGGATTGACAGTTTACAACCGAAATGTTAGTTCATGTTGAAGTTTGTTTTTGCCCTGTCATTCTGCAATATATGACCGTATAAAATTGTGCACTTAAAAACACATTTGATTAAGTTTTAAGATGTAACTGCTCCCTTATAAAGGCTCATTAAGGAAATTAGTTTGCATTATCTTGCTTTAAAAAAATTAATAAATTCAACTCGTTCTCCTCATCCAGATCTTGTCAGTGTTATTTTAGTATTGTACTTTTTATTAATATAATTTTTTTTTTCATTTAGTTACTTTGCTGTATGTCTGTCATTTGTGTTTAAAAAAAAATAAAAAATTTAAAAATATATATATTTTATTTCAGTTAAAGTTATGTATTTCGAGGGACAAACGTGTTTTTAGTATAACCATAATAACCCCGGCTCTTGAACATACAATAAGGAATGTTGTATCCTAAAAGAGATGCTGACCAGTGTTGGGGAAAGTTACTTTTAAAAGTAATGCATTACAATATTGCGTTACTCCCTAAAAAAAGTAAAAATGACGAGAAAGGCTTTGATAACAGTAAGGCAATTGGAGCTCAACTGACCTCACAGCTCATGTTGTTCGTTCCCAGAAAGTCTCTGAATAATCAGTTATGGAGGTACACATGAAGGATATCACTAATTCAAGTTCAACTTACTTAGTGACAGTGCACAAAGGATCTTATCCAATGATAGTGTACATTAGTGTGACTGTCTTAATCTTGTGCAGTAATGACAGCACATGAAACCACACTTTGTTCCAGACAATTCAAACCAAGATAACACTTCATAAAAACCTGTTGTATCAAATCTGTGCTGGGACAGCGTTTAGTCCATAATAGAGAGGTTGACAGACAACTGCCTATTTCCATCGATCTCCATCTTTATAGGAAAGACAGTCATGGAGATTCTGGACACGTGTAGGTCTGTCACAAAGGGCTGATTGATGGCTGACAGGCTGTGCTAGGAAAGGAGTCAATTTGTACTGTGTCCTGATGCATTGCACCCTGATTTGAGTAAGACACACGGATCCGCATCTTAAGGCTGACCTGTGGGGGGTATAAAAGTATAGTCAAGTTTGTGCATAAATAGTGCTGATAAGTTTAGTAAGAAAGACAGCTGCACAAATCTAAAGCAGGGTAGACTTGCCTTGTTAGGGTTGTTAAGTAAAACAGTCTGCGTGACTTGACCAAGGCCATGTGCTGGAATCACATTACCACTCGGAGCCTTCATTTGCAGCTGAACACTCTAAACAGGAATATATTATTGTTTTTAAGAGATGACAGCATCCAAATGCTTCTGAATTATATAATTTCTTTCTCAAGTTAAATGTGTAAATAGATTTTTAAAAATGTATTTATTTTTGTGAGAAATTAAAATAGAAATAGTAAGGCCTGCTTTACACAAAACATTAAGCATTTTTACAGGGTGCTTGTATGTTAAAGGCAATTTAAATCAAATTAAAAATAATTAATAATCAAATAAAAGACCAATTCTTCAAAGTAAGGATAATAAAAATCATCTTAAGTCATAAAAACGGTGGGTTTTTAACAGGGGAAATAAAATCGTCAAAGCTATAATGCACTCAACTGAATGTAACTGGATAATAACAGGTACTTCATTTTAATACATGCCATAAATGATAAAATTAAAGGTATTTAAAACGTATTTATTGTGACATTTAATGTACATGTGGTGGAGAACCAAATAGGAATTAATCTACACTGAACGGAACCAAAACTCTTAAGTACAGAATATAAACTACTTAAATCATTTGGATTCAGAGTGCAGCATGAAGCAAAAAAAAAAAAAGTGTAAACAGTGTGAATGCTGTAACCTGTTAATATGGCTGCTGAAATTAATATCTGCTGCTTGTGTGTGCAAAAACAGAGCGAAGTTTAAAAATGGAGCGGGTATAGACCTTTGGTACTGCTGCTTGAAGAGTGAAGCTGGTGATGTCATTCTGAGTAGAATTAGAGGCAATAAGAGAGACCGTGACCTCGGTTTCTGTTTGTTTGTCATATTGGATCTTCAGGCTCAATCCGTTCTTCTCGTAGACTGACACAGTGGGAACTACATGCACATAAACACAGCAATGTTTCTGCATTTCTGCTTAATAGTTTTGTGGAAACCATGATACATTTTTTTCGAGAATTCTTTGATTGGTTCAAACAAACAGCATTCATTTGAAATAGAAATGTTTTGTACCACTGTAAATGTTTGCTTTAGTGCCACTTATCAATTTATGGCATTCTTGCTGTTTTTTAATCTTTATGATCCCAAACATGTAGGGCTACACAATTAATCGAATTTCTAATCGCGATTACAATTGTGGATGCCACAATTACGTAATTGGTTAAAGCGGCAATTAATTGTTCAAAGTCTACTTATGTTATTGTGCACGCTTAAGATATGTTTTTTTCTTTCTACATGTTATCTTAAGGGTTTTTCCATTGTTTTAGTATAATACCATTCATATTTTTACTTTTTTTATAATTTAAAGAAGAAACCAATCCGATGTATATTTGACATTTGAGGGTTAATACTATAGAAAAGCACTAAAAGCACTTTTTCAGTTAGAGTGTTTTCAGCTTGTTTATTTTCATATAAAAATACGGCATGCAGTTGCATCAAACAATGGTATAAACATCATTCAATGTAAATTGTGATAATCGTAATTAATAATCGCAATTACAATTTCAAGGGAATAATCGACAATTATGATTTTTGTCAGTCATAAGCAGCCCTACAAACATGTATATCTTTCAGGACAAATAGGTCAAATGGAGCTGGAGGAATGGGGAGTTCTTCAGGTATCGATGTTCTCACCTGGTGTCGGCTCCAGTCCTCCCAGCAGGTCGAGAAGATCTGCGCTAGAGGTAGTTGTTGGAGTGCTGGTTGGGGCAGGGCTGGGCTGAAGAGGTGTGTCTGTCCCACCCAAGAGATCCAAAAGGTCACACACCTAACAGAAGTGTAAATCCAAAAAAAAAAAAGATTTTTAACTATTGTTCAGCAGTTCTACTGTATGTCTAAATACAATATCCTGTAATAATTACCTGGCTTGCTGGTTCTGAAAGCAAACCAGCTTCAACTGGTTTGGGTTTGGATGTGTCAGGCTCTTTAATCTCTCCTGGTGTGTCTCCATTAGTGTAGCCAGGTGAGTTCTTGTCCATCACAGGCATTCTCTCCAATACCGCAGCTCTGAGAGGAAGACAATGAAGAGCAGCACCATTCATGCATGATGTTTTTTAATAAACAATAATGCACTACGAAAACACACAGCGGTACCTCATGTGGTCATATTTCTTGAAGAGTGCATTATATTCAACCGCTCTTTGCTGTAGTTCCAGGTCAATGCAGCTGCCGTAAATACTGACAATACTTCTGATTCGGCTGATTGAGAGAAAAACATAAATATGTAAGACCAAACAGACTACAGAATCTACACACAAATAACAATGTACAATAACTTATCTTTGAGTGATTTTTTCCTAGGGATGAACGTATTCAATAACGTAACCGTTTTCAGCCCATATAGAATGTTTTTTTTTTTTTAGCTATACCCCAGGGCTGCATTTATTTGATAAAAAATATACAATAACAATATTATTACGACTTAAAATAAATGTTTTCTATTTTAATATATTTTAAAATTTAAAAAACTTAGAAAACTTATTTATTCTTGTAACAGCAAAGCAACATTTTCAGATTCTTCAATGAATAGGAAATTCAAAAGAATAGCATCTATTTTAAAAAAAATTTTGAAGAAAAAAACACTAATACGTGAACAACACCATCAAATATAGCACTAGTTTTTAGCATTTAAAAAAACATACATATATATTAAGACAAAAAATACAGTAACATTTTTAAAGAATTATCGGCCAGAATGATAATATCGGTGCATCCATCATTTTTTAAATTCCCATTATGTCTCATATTAAATTCATAGTGCATTCTTGCCAGTGTTTCACAAAAGCGACACAAGCAATGTTCTCACTCGACATTGTCTGTGATGCGAGTGCTCAGCTTCATGGTAGCAGTGAGTGCGAAGCCTCTGGTTGCCGGCGATGACATGTGAGACTGCAAAACTGTTTCCAAGGCATCCAGGACGTCATCCTCAGTAACCTAGCGACAGAAAAGGCCCACAACTCAATTTAGTTGCCCCTTACAAAGCAAATACTGTGGTGATACAGGAGTGGCATCAGATATTAGTACCATAGTAATTTCATACTATAGTCTAAGAAGTGCAAAACTACATATTTTTAAATCTGACTGGTTAATTTCAAGGATAAATGATTATGATTAAGTTTGTGAGACACAACTTCTCAGATGGGGTTTATCTTGCTGACAAACTAATAGTTACTATTACATTTTACATGCAGAAGCATGCAACTCTCAGCCCTACCACAATAACTAGCATATTCATGTACATTGCTATTTAATTACATGATATTCAACATACTCCAAAATGAGAACAACTTGGCACTATTGTGGTCATTTTGGATCATTTTCCGTAAGTGACTAACAACACTAAATATATCAAATTATCTGCCAGATTCATACCGATTCTATACTGACACTGATTGGCGCTCCACAAATGCTTTCTATTTACTTTTCTATATAATCTTCATTTCCGTTTACCTGCAGAGGCTCAATCTCCTCACATTCGCCCTTCAGCAGCAGGTCTCCATATTCTCCTATACACCAGCACGCAACTTGGACCAAGGATTGCTATGAAGATAAACTGTCTATTACACACAAACACTTACAAAGGGCACATATAAATCAAAATGCTTGAAAAAAAGACACTTTTCAAACGGGACATATTCTTGCATTCAAAATAGTGAAATTCAACATCCTAAAAATGCTGTATTCATGGCCCAGATATGCTCAATGGTCAAAACGCATGGCACATTCACGTTTCAAGATTCAAGATGCATCTTGTGTAAAAGGCCACTTACACATCTAATATGTGACCCTGGACCACAAAACTAGTCATAAGGGTACATTTTTTTTAAATTGAGATTTATACATCATCTGAAAGCTGAATAAATAAGCTTTCCATTGATGTATTTGTTATGATAGGACAATATTTGGCCGAGATACACCTATTTGAAAATCTGGAATCTGAGGGTGCAAAAAAATCTAAATATTGAGAAAATCGCCTTTAAAGCTGTCCAAACGTAGTCCTTAGCAA